ATGGTCACACAACTTAAACTCACCGGCAATTTATGATTGCCTATCATGATTTCGTACAACCATCTCATGATAATATGATTTATATGGCCCATTCCGTGTCGAATCAGCCACTTTTAAACCGAGCGGTTTCGAGTTTGCTGAAATTTTTATTTTATATTTAAGGCTAAGAACTATTTCCGGTTTTATGTCAGAGTAATCCTAAATTTTTTTCTTAAAATATTTCAAACTGACAGCAAATATTGACATTGATTTTTATAAAAAAAAAAAAAAAAAATTGCAGAATATCTCTTTTGAGAAATTTTTTTATAAATTTTTGCGATAATTTTGACATAAAACTGTAAACTTATACGACAGTTATAACGATTTATTTCTATTATTCAAGTGAAAAAAAGAAAGAGTAAGGATTAAATACTTATTCAGATATTTATGGGCAATTTATTTATTCAATAATTGGAATTTGTCGGCATATCAAATGGATTGTTTAAAAAAAAAAAATAAAAAACTTGAAATTATCGGAATAATGCATATACTTATTTTGATAATACCGCAGTTTTTTTTTTTGTTAATTTCTTTCTCTTAACTTGAGGCTTTTACACCAACGCAAAAGCAATTAAAATACTTGAATGAATAATAAATAAGGTTAATGCGTAAATTACAGTTTACGGTATACGTGTACAAGAATAATGTTTATAATACATTCAGAGCGTTTTCTTGTATCATATGAATCGGCAACCAGTTAATGATGCCATTTTAAACATAAGCGAATTTTCACTTTAATCATTCAGAGTCCGCGCCTGATCCCGAGATGAGAGTAACAATCGGTTTACTCGAGAAATCTAGTCCCACACACTCCTCCATTTGGCATAGGAAGGTCACTACAAAAAAGGAATTGTCGAGAAATATAAAATAAAATAAATAAAAAAAAGAGAATTGACGTACATACGTACATTCTTTGAAATGTAACGTAGATGTTTTATTCTGAGCAAGTGAGACACATGTCTTGGCTAATATGGAAAAATATGTTGATGGATTTGCTGATTCAGATGTCGCCGAGATCCAAGTGACAGATGAAAAATTTATTCAACCATTTTTTATAAACCTACGGCTATTTTATTAGGTCATAGAATTAACTATTATCTCATTACTGATTCTCTTTGTCTCTTTTATTTTTTTATTTACATTCATTTTACTTGATTAATATATTACACATATTTTTAAATTTTCCAGGGAATAACGGGTCAGTAATTGATTTTAATTAGAAATAATTATTTGTGATAGATAAATTGTCAGTTATAATAGATTCATTGATTTTAATAATATTTACTGTGCAATTAGTAGAAAATATGCGTTTGTAGAAATTAACTAACTTGATTCCTAGTTTTAATAATTTAAAATAGAAAAAAAATAATGAAGAATAAATTCAATGAAATTTAAAAATATTGTAATTTTTTTATTAGTTAATTGTCTTTAATTTTGGCTATACTAATGTTTTCTTGAATCTCCGCAAGATGGCTTTAAGCTTCAATATTTTCTTACATATACTTTGGTATTTCCAGGTAATAAACATTGTATTAAAAGTAATTTGATAAGTAATTTTTGATATTTATCCCTGATTGAATTTTTAAAGTCAATTATGAATTTTGATAATTTAGAAGTTTAATTTCTAGCTTTGAAAGTTTTAGCTCGGGTATTATATAAAAATTTTACATTTTTGTCTTTGCATGAAGATTCGCATTAAGATCACTTATTTTTAATTAAAAAAAAAATTATTCTATATTATTAGCACAAAATATGTCTGTTAAATAAGTTAATTAAATAATTTTAGCTATAATTTCCTGGGTTCGGATTAAAATCAACTATTTATTCCATAATAATAATATATGAAATACTATCTAAAATTATATATTTTTAAAATTTGATAATGTTTCAATAAAAAAATATTTAAAGAGTGATATAAAGATTATACTAAAGTATAATTTTTTCAACGATGAGGCAGCCTACGAAATAAAACTAGATGATGAGAATAGAGAATTATTTGCTGTCATGTTTTACGTTGAGCGCAATAACTTTGCAGTTTTCTTGAGTGTAGAAACTTATGAATTAATCCTAAAAATATCCGCTTACATATCTATATAATTTTAACTGCATAGCACGATACTTAAATTTAAAAACTTACTAAAAAAATAATTAATTTGAAGAATAAATCGAAGGAAATTTTTCAAAGGCAAAATAAAGAATAAAACATAAGTATATTTTTAAATTAATATATATAATTTTTAGTCAGGTGGAAGTTTTCATGGTTTAGGGAAAAAAGGAACGGGAAAGGTCAGTTTTTTTTTTTTTTTTTTCTAAAGGTGTACAATATACATACATACCGTAGGAATAATGATTCGGGAAATAATAAGATCAATATAAATGACCTTTTATTATTGCTTTCTTTTTTTCTTTCCCTTAAATGAGCTTCCACAAATTTAAAAAGCGCCATTATCTAATTACAGTTTAAAAAGTCATACTTTTTTTATTTATTTATTTTAATTTTAAATATTTCACATTTTTCATTTTTATTATCAACTGATCGACATTTTGTTCGCACATGAGATTCATTTTATCTTCTTGTGTAGCTTCCCAATTTATAACAGACATTTATTGGTCAATACTATTACATGGTAGTGATAATTTTTTTTTTTTTCAGTTTAAAAACAATAAGTATAACAAATATTATACTTGACTCTAAATATTTAAGCGAAACAACAAAATATAAAATAATAAAACAAATATTTTCAATTACTTTTTTGTTTCCACTCACAACTATCACAAGTTAAAAACTGCATGATTTGAATGTGTAAAAATTTTAAGAGTTCAAAGTATGCAGTTTAGTTAATATAATAATTAATTAATCGTTTTATAACTCTCGACATATTTTATCGTAGTCCATAAAATTGTACAAGCATTAAAAGTCGTGTTTATTTTTGACGTATCTAATAAGATTGATATTAATATAAACAATGAAGGAACACTTGCATCTAATTTTTATTTTTCCATTTATTAATATTATCATTAATATATCATTATTACACCTATTAATATTATCATTATCATTATTATTAATAGTAATATTATTGTTTTAATTAGTAGTAGTAGTAATAGTAGTAGTATAGTAGTATTATTATTATTATTATTATTATTATTATAAATATTTGAAATATGAATGAAACTTTTTTTTTATTTATTTATCAATAATCATTTACATTTCATTGTATTTTAATGCGATCCTTTGCATTATTCACCTGCTATTTTACTGATTCAAGTACGCACATATATCTACATTTATATCTATATCATACAAGTTTAGAAACAAATTAATCAATTTTCTTTTTTTTTTTTTAATAAAATAAATATGTATTGAAAAGTTTTGTACAGAAGAATGTTTCAAGTATGTTTGAGGAAATTCATGCGCATATAATTAATAATTTTAGATCAATATAAAAAGTAAAAATTTTATTCGAACAATTTTTTTACTTATTTTTTTTATTAAAAAAAATTTAACATGATTTTTTTCAAACTGATAAAAAACTTTAAGATTAATTTTTTATAATTAAAAATGTATGTAACAAATTAAAATATTTTAACAGTAAAATTGTATACTAAAATATTTTTTATTAAATTTTTTTTCACTTTTATATTATTAACGCGTGAACTTCCTTAAAAAATTTAGAAATAATCATGAATTTTTTTTTGAGTGGAAATTAAAAAAAATCACCAAAAAAAATGTAAATACCAAAAAAAAAGTATAAATTTGAAAAAATTACAACCTTTCCTTTAGATTGCATAACCAATTTTGTAACTACATTTAATTGAAATAATAACCATAAATAATTCCTGAGAAAAGAAAAACAAACGTTTTTAATGCGACAATAGAATCTCGTTGAACAAAATTAACAGTCGATCACATATTATTTATTTTATTTTTATTATACGGCGCAAATAATTATTCACTGTTCGTCACATTCGATTTGTATTCTGCAGCACTAATTTAATCAATAATAATTATACTCAATAATTAATCCGCGGGCGTATTATTTATAATATATTTATATAATAATATAATATAATATGATATAATATAATCATATCGCTAGGGTACATATTTACATAAGGGTCTGCAAAGAGTTGAGGTGCTCGTATTTTATTTAAAATTCTTTTTTTTAACTTTTTTATTTTTATCATATATTGCAATAATATTAACTCATAGATAAAGATCATGTAATTTTTCTTAAGTCCTAAAAGTATTCCCAGGCAATTTTTGCGGCTCCTCTTCTCTTAAATATTTATAATTTTCCACGTAACGCTTGTTATTTGCGAAAATTTACAAAGATTAACGTGCGCTGGCACTGATAATACAATACAATACATATATTCATATTTATATATCACTAAATAGATCGGGAATAAAAAACAAGTGTCCTTAGCACTATTTTCACCGATCTCTCCCGTAATAATTCCAGTCCAGGCATAAAACTATATGTACACACGTCACGATACCAAAAATTTCATATTTCGGAGTGTTAATTTAAATTTTAAGAGTTTTATTTATTGAAAACCGCTAAAATAAATCGCCGTTAATTTAAAATACTTGTAACACTCAAAAAATTGCACTTAATATTATTCCCAGTAGCCCCGAGACAATTTTCTAGAGACACGGTGGTGCCAAGTCGCGCCAAGTTGCCTTCCAAGCTTTTAACAGCCATCTTGTGAACCTAACGCGACAAGTCGTAATTATTATTATTACTACCACCCGGCAATGATAAATCGTCTTTAGCCGAGAATCCGTGGTGTTCTCCAAGAAAATTAACCGATAATCTCAGCTACGAGGGCTCTGACGTGGAATCCGGCTCGAGTTCCTGTTCATCCTTGGACTCATCGCCGCTGGTTATCTCAAGATCTTCATCCTCCTCCTCGGTGTCTATCTTGGTACTAGATACAGGCTCGTTGCTTTCATGTCACGGACTCCCTCCGCCTCCGTCGGCCTCGTTCCGATGCCCGGGCGTCAAACTAGGACTAGGCCGTTTTTTAATGCTACTGCTGCTCCGTCTCTCCTGGAGCCCGTTCACCATGTTCTCGATGGATTTTAATTCTCCCGTAGCCGAGGCAGGTCCGGTGTTTGCTGGACCGTGTCCACCTGTCCCGGGAGTCGGAGACCCAGTGGGGGGCCTGGGAGGAGGTGACCTGGGACTCAGAGTGCGGCTTCCAGGAGTGACTGTCTCGAAAGCCGAGCCGTGGGAAGGGGCAGGTAAGGTGTAAGGCGCGAATCGGTGTCCCTTCAGCTGGTGCAGAGGACTCGAGAGGGGGTGAGGATAGTGCCCGAACAGGGCCGAATGCTGGCTGGCCGCCAAAGCGAGCTGGGCGTTTAGCAGCATTCCCGGTGTTACACCCCCGTGGAGGCCCAGAGGGTTTGGCGGCAACAGGGGACTGTGTCCGTGGTAGAGCCCAGGTACTGGAGGGTAGAAATACGGTAACAGGGGCGGGTGGAGCACCGGCGGCCCGACAGACACGTCTGGCCTTGGACCCTCAGAGGTTGGCCCACCAGGCACGCCACCACTTTCCGAACCCGAGGACTCGCTACCTTCGCGCTCGCTTATCCTGTCGTCTCTTTCCCGGGAGTGTTCACGTTCTCGGTGGTGCTGCGCCGGGTGTGGCGTGTCTGGTCCCACTACGTCCAGCAGCTTGTCCTCGTCGTCCATCATGTCGGTTACGGAGTTCGAGGATCTGCGCTTGTCTGGTGATGCTGGGGCACCGGAAGTTAGGCGGGAAGTTCCTCCGGATACGGTCAACAGCGCCTGTCTTCTGCAACAACGACTTAGAGTTAGCAATTGTGGAAAGAAGGTTGATAAATTTGAATAGTAATATATAATTAGGAAAATTTTGTCTTTTAAGTAATAATAATGATACGCAGATTCTATACGGAGAAAAAAAACAACATTGATTACTGTTTTGTACAGTACTCAATACTGTTTTGGAAAAAAATGAAGTTAAAATATTTGGGACAGTAGAGAGCGCTGCATAAAAGCTACTGATTATTGTCTGCACACTACTGAGTCGTGTTCTGACACTAACCAGTCGTGTTTCGTACAGCACTCAGTAGTGAGTGTTCATAGTTAGTAGTATGAACATTTTTCTAATATTTGTATGAAACAGTAATCATTGCTGTTTTATTTTCTCCGTGTAAGATGTCATAGCTCATATTCAAAAAATTTTACAGCAGACAAAAAACTTCATTTTTAACATTGGTGAAATGAGATTTAACAGATGAAAATATTTATTTAAAATTAGTTATCACATGGAAAAATGAAAAATCGAAAAATTACATTATAAATTGTAATAAGCGTCGCTTCGTATAAAAAAAAAACTAGAAAAATTGTAGTTTAAAATGATATTTTTTGAAATTCAAACTTTGAATGTTAATTTACAGAGCTTTTAATGTTAATTGTCAGAGCTTTCAAAGAAATATTCACATTTTACAATGTAATTCTTACAAAATCTGTAATAATTACAATCTGAAGCTGTAATTTTTTCAGTTTTTTATACGAAACGCCACGTTACATTATATAATTTAATTTTTCCATTTCTCTTTTTTCCGTGCAAAAAATTTGACATGTAAATTTTTTATATGAGCTGCATAATATTATAATTCGTTTTTTTTTTTAAGAAAATCAAATTTTGTAAGTTACGAAATCTTCAAATTTTGGTATAGATATCATAAAATGCCTTTTTTAAATCAAATTTATCATCATTTGAAAGATCTAGATCTAAATTTGTGCTTTTATATAATCTTACATTTTTCTTGATAGTCAATTTTATATGTTAAGTTTTTGGAGGATTTTTGATTAGTTTGTTGATTTTATAAGTTTGTTCCTTGATATTTATCCATTAAATATAATTGGTAATTAATCCTGTCATTGCAATATTATTTTTTTAATCTATTCCAAAAGTACCCAAACCATTTATATTGTAAAAATATCAAATAATCATTAAACCAAAGCTTATTTTATTCATAATTCGTAAGTCTCAACAATCAAATATTAACTGCAAATTGCTAGTTTACTTTAATCAATATAACTATTTAAAAATAATTATGGTTCTGGCCAGGAATTGAACGTGAATCTCTATAATTATGTCGTGAGTTGATGATTGTTATCGAACTCAAGTTGAACTTGAAGCGAAATTATGACCAATAAAGCAATTATTTTTCCACGAACAATTAACTAAAAGAAAACGAAGTTTATGCTCATAAAGATTAAATATTTTTTCAGTTTGTAAACTTTAAAAGAGTACTCTACTCATGCATCGCTGTTTATTTTTTAGCATGAAATGAAAACAGGAATGAGACTACTGTTTATGCTCTTAACGTACTGCTTCCAGGGAATTGGGAGGTAATAAAATAATTACAGCAAGATGATATGAAGATGATAATGTGATAAAAATCCGGTTGGCTGTACGTTTGACTTGTAAGCGTGAAAAAGTCATGGATTGTGACTTATGAAGTTGTTACTCGTAACGGTGACTATCGGTAAATAGTCGTTGAGTCGACGATACAAACAGACCGCTATAAAGCACGCACGATTAATAGTGGCTTTAGGTATCCTTACAACCTGTTTACGATAATAATAACTACGGTCATTTACTTGGTAGCGTACTTGAGTACCTAGAAGGAAAGCTAAAGGATTTATGAGAGTCGAAGCTTCAGCGAACAGCGCCTCGGGCTCCACAGGCATTAAATTAATTATCTTAATCGTGCTGCGAACGCCTTTTCTATTCGCCTGAAACCGACGCCATGCCTTCAGGGCCACCTTTTTTTGATTCCGCGTCAATTACATGTGTCACGACCTCGCAATACTTGAGATATATTGTCGCTTTTATATATATTGTATGCACATGTCTACACGAAAGATTTGTTTTTGATGGAATACCATAAACATCACTTTTTTGTCGGATTACAAATTGCAAATAAACGACTATGTAGTTTATGGGATTACTGTAAACCAAATTATGAAACAATTAGCTTTTGCAAAAGTTTTTTATTCCGAAGTTCAATATTTGAAACGACTCTGGGTCTAAATTTGTAGATTTTTTCTCTTAATTATTTGGAGTTAATAATTTTATTTTTTATTGAAAAAAATATATATTTTTGAACAAAAAAAAATTATTTTCAAGAGAATCAATTGGCTAGATTTAAAAATTTCAAGATACAATTAAATGTATAATAAAAAAAATATTAATATTTTAAATTAACAATAATTTGATTCTTTATTCAACTTCCCGCTGAGAAAATTGAAATTTTTTTTCAAAAATTTCACATTTTTGGCTCAAAAATAAGTTTTTACAATTAAATGTATAATAAAAATAAATTAATATATTAAACTAATAATAATTTGATTTTTTTTTTTTTTTTTTTTCAAGAATTTGACATTTTTGGCTCAAGAATAAGTTTCTTCATTCAAAATACTAGAAAAAATTTCAAGTAAACATATTTTGAAATATATTTTTGATAATTTAGAAAAAAAAAAATCAGAGAATTGGTATTCTTGAAACAAGTCAGTAATATCAAAATATCGGTACCATTGGTTCAAAAACCATTTTATTTTAATAAAAAAAAAAAATATTTTGGGTAAAATAAAAATCATTTTGTTTGAAAATAGAAGAGTGTTTCGTTAAATTGGTAAAATTTTTAATGCTGAATTTTTTTTCTTTGTTCAAAAGTTTTTTTTTTTTTCAACAAAAAAATCAAATTATTAAATCAATTCATTTCAAATTAAACATCATAAATCAAGAGTGAAAATTAGCAAAAAGTATTTTTATCGAATCAATTAGTTTTTTGCTTAATCTATAAATTTTAATATTTTTTTTCCCTCTAAAATCAAATTCCCTCATCAAACCTTATCTCGCGCATCTCCCGAATTACTCCACATAAATAATACCTTGAAAAAGCAAACAAAATAAAAAAATGTAAGAGCATCCCGACATAAATATAGATTGAAACTCAGCAAACTGCAGCGCGATCTTGATGTCTAAATAAGTTAACCATATAATACAGAGCTAAAGCACTATCGATTAAAAAATCATCGTAATGTCAGTGCACGATGATCCAGTGTACACATGCAGGTATACCAGAAATAAATAAGCGAACCTTTTAATCACGAAGGTATTTCACACCTTTAACCATCGCAAATTGCAATCCTCCGTACGTAGCACACATGGACGGTGCCCTGCTCTAAGCCCCGTACATCATATATACATACATTGGAAATTTGCAAAGTTTTAACTCACACGCGTTTGGGCAAACAAGCGACTTGCACGCACGCCCCATCGTTAGTCCCGCATCACGATCATGCCAGAGTTTAATCTGACTCTTTCTCTCTCTCTCTCTGGATATATAGCCATAGCCCCATACTCTGTCTACATACACACAACTACAACTATTTATTTATTCTTTTTATTTTTGTTATCCCTGCGGGCAAGCGTCGATCGCACACGATAGACTCGTTCGTGTTTACGAACTGCGTGACGCCTCGACAGATCGATTACCAAGTTGACGATGGGACTCTACACTAGCTCTATACTGCCTAACTCTGCGTATGGAATTATATCGTATGAGCACCCTTTTTACTTTTCACTCTTACTCTGATAACTCCCCGATGTACACCCACTATCACTAATATAGATAGGGACTTTCTGTTTATACACATTCGGGTCAATCAACACGAAAAATCGTGACTCTGTCATATCACAATGTATCACACTCGCATACTCGTGCGTGTAAACACATATATATGTCTCTTTTACTGGCCAATTAATTGTGTTTTTCCACACGAGGTGACAATAAATAACAAGCTTTATTATTTTTAGTCACATTAGTTAAGTTGTATATAATTCACCTTTTCCAACATCATCAATACTTAATACATTCATACAATATATATTGGAGTAGCAGTACAGTATAAGTTATCATGTACAATAAAAATAAATTGAAAATAAAATAAAATGTATAAGACTCGGTTTTGTAACACGACAAAGCGGATTACAAGCTCTCTTTCCCTAATACCCTATAATGCGATCAACGGGGTACACGAACGCTACACACGTTTTCATTTCATATATATTTATATTTCCAAGACGGGTATAGAAGTGAGCAGAAAAAAATCCAAGTACGATATCATTTCTCAGTATATTTGCACTTATGCGTACGAATCGACAGCACTTCAGTCAGTTTGTATGATCAAGTTTGCTGAAACTTGGATAATATGGTTCAGAGTTGGGGGATCAAATATACTCTCTATTGTGTTATGAACTCATAAATGGTTCCAAGTTGTGGCTACACATGTGTAGCATTGCATGTTGACGTTCCAAATTAGGATGAAATTTGTTCAGATAATTTAGTATTTTCAGCTTGATTTGATTTTCTGTGATTCGAGTAACTAGTACGTTTTAGGAAGAAAATTTCTCATCAGGTTTGATATATTCTTAGATATTTTTATCAGAATTTTTATATGTTCATAAATGGGTGATGTCATACAGCCATATCGACGGTCTAATTAGCAATTTGTCTAATTCCTTATTTTTTAGAGGGTGATTTTTTTAACATTTTAATGTAGCAATAGTCCAATTATAAATTATTTGAATGATTCAAACCAAAATATTATACCTTTATTAGATATTAATGATATTAAATGTAATAAATTTTGAACTAATTGTTTTTTTCGTACAAATGAAAGACTCTCTAAAATGGAGTTTAACAATTTGCTAATTAGAACGTCGATATATACTTTGATATTTTTATCTGTAATTTATCTATTTAAACCTAATGGGGCACGATATGGCTTTAGATATTAATATTCTTAAGGATTTTCCGAAAAAAAAATTTAGTTTTTGGTTTAATATGGTATGCAATGACAATGTAACTTGATATGAATGTATATGTTTATATTTATATGGATTTTTTGAAGAAAAATTCTGATATCTGACTCGATTTGACCAAATATGGACATATATCCTTCAATATTTTCACGCATGACTTGAAATAAATTTTCTACTGTGGCCATGTTTACTCCAATATGTCATATCAAGCCATATAACATTATATATTAACATATAATACCACATTAGACTATCAAAAACTCATACATAGGTTGTCTTCAATTTTCAGAACGGAAATTAGGTTGGATGTTAAAAACTGTGTATATTTTTAAAATAAAAAATCTGTAATTTTTTGTGACGCGTTGGAGTAAGATAAGATCTATTCACATCTTTCTATCTTATTTTACAAATTTTTTTATTTCCTAGAATCAAGGCATTTGTGGTCTGTATGTTATGCCTGGCACGTTCGCGTTAACATGAAAAAGGGTGACAACGCCTTTGACACCGCAGGATTCGCTTGACTATTATTAGTATCATCGTCCACCCTCGGCGACCCCTCGTCGAGCGGAATTATAATCCACCCTTTCAGCGGTTGCGAAGACTACGATCCCTGATACTGATGGGGGTTCATTCGAGAACATCATCTCACGACTGCGACAAATTCAAGTAACGAGTGAGCAGTGAAAGAGTAATAAAAAAAAAGAAAAAAAAAAAGAATGATTTACAAAGCAGCTAATAGCGTATATGTAACTATGATCTCTCGACCCTTTTAGGACTTGGATTAGATAATGTCAGAGGGTTTAACCACCGTCCCCTCTAGAATTTTAAATTGTGGACACACCTCTTTAAAAATTAAACCTCAAGCCGCATTTATTCACCTTCTTTGCACAAATTACGAAACCACCAAAAAAGAATTTTTTTCTTTCTGTTCTTCATTTATTTAATAGACTATTAATGCAAATAATTGGCCATAAAAAAGCTAGATGCATTTAGAGAGTGTCATCTTTCTCGCGGGCGATCAGACTCAAGACTCTAAACTTAACTCAAGGATCTTCTTTATTATCATGTGTATAATAGCTCGTGGTGGTAATATAAAATTCAAAGCCGGCACCCTCAACCTCAACGCCAACGTTAACGATAGCACCGCCTCTGAACATCAGTATGCTAATCCGATGATTGGCTATGTTCCAACCTCATCCCTATAACCACCTCGCTTTTGACCCTTGTTTTTTCATCCTGCCACTTCTTTATAACGTCTTCGTACCGTTTTTATCTTTTTTTTTTCACAACTTCACAACTTGCGTGTCTTTTTAATTCTTTAATATATTTCTATGCATGTGTTATATATGTTTCACGGTTGAAAATTAAGCCACTTCATTTTTTATTAAAAAAAATTTTACGGTACGAGTTTTGAATAACTTATAAAGACTAACTTACAAGCATGTAATTTCTTCACTCTAAATGTGAACATATTATATGATGGATGATGCAATCGGTTGAACATTTTTTAAAAATTCCGCTTTATCGACAGCCAACTTCTAGGTTTCATGACTAAATAAAATTTTAATTACTGTAAGTGACACGCGCGTGGCGTTGTTTGCGCTTTTTATAGGGAGCAAAAAGGAGCTGATGAAGATATCAAACATAAAAGTCAGTAAATTTCTCAACTTGTCACCTACTTATTTTAATTGATCGAATTTAAATAACTCTTAATATGGATATTTTGTCAAACTATTTGAAGTTGCGAAGGCAATTAACAAGTTAATTTACTTTTAGTTAATTAAAAATAATTACTTATTTATATATATGATTATACTCTCATAGAAAAATTTATTAACTGTTAACAAATCTATTGTATTTTAAATTGTACTGAGTTTAAATGTAATAAAAAGAGGTGATCGATGACTAAATAAATTTACAGTGAATGATGATCCCCAAACAGCAGATCTACGGGGTTTGCATTTGGATTCTCATTTGCACTCCCTAACGGGTCATGATCCGTCCATTTGTATTCAATATTGCAAGTTTATGGGCTTCATGTCGATTCACCCCTCGGGGCTATTGCTACCACATCCTCGTGGTTATATCACGCTGTCAAACGCTCAATGAAACCTATTTCAGTTTAACTAAAGTCATACGCTACACCATGAGAGAATTCAAGTGGATTTTCATACCATTTACTTTACTATGCATTGAATTTTCTTCACACGTCAATGTCAGTTATGCATATAACACATAACACACACCACACACCTATATCATATATTCTTCCTGTATTTATATGACTTATTACTTTTTAATTTTCAATTTAATTTTATTTTTCAATATCAATAAAATTTATCAATTCCAGTTCAATTAAACTTTTGTAATAATAGTAAATTATTTTTCTGACAAGTAATTTTTTTTTTTTTTTAAATATTGAATTTTTTAACTAATTTTAAATCATCAAAAAAATTGACTATATTTTATATTAAATTATGTTGCAACTTTTTTATTTGATAAAATGAATCAGAATTTTCATAACTTTTCAACAGATTAAATCAATTCTCAATATTCTCATCAAACTACCTAAATTTACATACACAATAATAATAATGCATGATTATTTATTCACATTTAATAAAATTCAGTGATGACGCACGGGTATTCTATATTTGGACACAGTGAGATAAATGCTTATAGTTATAAATAAATTGCATTTGATTAAATCAAAATGCGGAAAGCGAACGAGATGACATTTTACGTATCAGATTAAATTTTAATTTATCAGATTTGATAAAGATCAATGATGAGTCATTATACCAAAAATAATTATATGGAAGTATAAATAATTAATAAGTATAAGTTTTGAAAGCGATACTCACTTTTTCTCTCGTTTGCCAGCACCAGTATCTCGAAATCCTTTCGCAAAGGGATTGTTGTCGATTTTCAACTGCGTAATCTGAAAATAAACGTATAAAAATAATTAACACAAATTTTTTCAAGATAATTTTTTTTTCGCTGTTTGTAATGTAGTTAAATAATAATAATTATAAAAAGTTTTTCAATTATTAATAATTGATGACTGGACATTTTTTTTATATTGACTTAAAACAAATAAAAAATCATTTAAAAAATTTAATGCATTAAAGTAACGACCGATAATTTGGAAGAAAAATAATTAAGGCAGTCTATTTTTTTGCTATAATAACGGTGATTATCTTTATGCATCCAGCTGTCATTATTAGTGATCGTAAAATGAGATTTACTTCTGCAGTAAGTCATAAACAGATATAAAAATTTATTTTCATAATTATTTTATTCTGTTAGACATTTTTTGAGTCATGAAATTGGGATTCAAGTCGAGAGAACACTATGAAAAAATTTTTTTAATGCAACCATATTTAGTTGTATGTTAGAAAAAAAAATTTATTTATTACAGAATTTCAATTTTTTATTTTTTATATAAATACGTCAATTATATTAAATATGTACGTCAATTAACATGTTGCATTCATCAAAATCTAGTTTACTAGTTGAATAGAATATTTTTTTTATTATATAATTTAAAACTTCAAACCGAACTCTCTTCTAACGAGAAGATTTAGCTACTATGCGCCATCTATCGGAGGTTTTTAAGTACTAAATTTTTTTAAAAATTATGTATGACCATATCAAGCTAATTATGTCCTTATATAACTTCAAGTAAGCAATTTTGATGTCAAACGACATGTAGGCATATCAGAACATATCAGAAAATTATATATTAGACATGAAGTCTTAGTAGAAAATTTTTTCACGAGATAATATTAATAATAATGTTGTTAGAATTAATCTAATGCTAATATAATATATAACGGTAACCTTCACTGATGCCAGATCGTATTTTATTGCATTAAAAGTTGGATTTATTACTGAATAAATAATCAGTAGCCTGACACCTTGTTACGCCATAAAGCGATAGTTAAAAAAGTCTCTATATATATATATATATATATATATATATATATATATATATATATATATATATA